GCTTATGCAGGGGGTCGGACTCGATGATCTATAGAGGTCCCTTCCGACCCTAACATCTATGAATCTATGAATCTATGACTAATGAAGCAACATCTCGTGGTTATTTTTTGCCTAGTGTGTTGTGTTTTTATACATAACGTATGATATAGCAAAGTAATGCAGATTCTAATAAAGTTATAGTTGTTTTTATTTCAATCTTAAACAGAGTAATGTAGCCCTAGGCCCCTAGCTTATTAGTGAAGTGTCTAGTTTCTTTTTAACTAGAGAAGAAGATACGCTCTGTAGCCTATGTTATATATGAAGCAGCACCACAACATCTCTACTCCCTCTTGTGAAAATCTTAGATCCACCTATGAGTGCATCCATGTAGGAAGGCTGGGAAGTTAATGTGCTGTGAATCTGCATCACAGTTTACTATACATTAACTTCCCCATGCAGGCACATCCTATGCTATCCTGCAATTTGTGCACACTAAGACTGTTCATAGCAGGAGCTATTATGGAAAACTAACAATTCACATCCAAGTTTACTGCCTACTAACTTCTGTAAGCAGACAAGTCCATGACTTCATTTTCAAGGGTGAATTTTCTATAACCAAAATCAGCATTGTTGTTTACTATTTACTATTATTCTATTATTAACTAATTTACTGGAATTACTATTGTTCTCTAGTTTGAAAGAAAATGACTTGGAAGAAGAATGAATTGGACATCTAAAGTGCAATCAGTCCATTAATTACAGCACTACCTAGAATACAGCACTGACTAAGCATTGCACATAATTTAGCTATATTTTTTTTTCCAACAGGCAGGAGAAAAACACTATCACCCCACGTGTGCACGATGTGTCAGGTGCAGTCAGATGTTTGCAGAAGGAGAAGAAATGTATCTTCAAGGTAAAAAAATAGTCAGTTGCTATCATTATCAGTATGTTTTTAACGACTTGATTAGTATATCTGCATTTGTAAGACAGGCACCACTTACACAAGCATCTGGGTACAGCAGCAGTGTTTCAGATATTTTCTTAATTTATACCGCACAAAGGAAGGGTGTGTATGTAAAGCAGATGTAAGTCACTGAAGCTTCTGGTTCTTTGCTGTGACCCAGGTCCTATAAATCAAATATAAAGTGTGAAGACATGGAAAGAGT